CATATTTTGTATCTAGGTTTCTTCCAAGCAAATACAACAGAGAGATTAAGTCCCTGAAAATGGAAGTGGAACGTTTGTTGATTGAGATCATACAAAGCCGGCGAGACTGCGCTGAGATGGGTCGGAGCAGCACTCACGGCGACGACCTTCTCGGGCTTCTCTTGAACGAAATGGATAGCGACAAGAATAACAATAACAACAACAACAATAACAATCTCCAGTTGATAATGGATGAATGCAAAACATTCTTCTTTGCTGGCCATGAGACCACTGCTTTGCTCCTCACATGGACAATGATGCTCCTCGCCGATAATCCCACCTGGCAAGAAAAAGTCCGCGACGAGGTCAGAGAGGTCTTTGGCTGCGATAGCCTTCCCTCGGTCGATCGACTATCCAAACTAACCTCGGTACGTACATTCACTTTTACATATACAACTTATAACTTCTAAAACGTAGACCAAATATCAATATATCTCTTGCAAATTCATAGAGTCAACATAGGATTTATGTTATACGAGACAGAGTAGTTAGTGGCGGACCGCGGTTATGACAATTTGTGGCTAACCATTCATGAGTTTGGTGTACGGTACGGTCTAGTCTACTAATCCATATAGTGACAGTTTCAACTTTTAGGCCTTTAGTTTTTTGTCCTGACCACATTGTTTAGATTTTCAGTAGGACTCGAACTCCACTAACCCCATAGATATAAAAAGATGATATTTGTTGTTTGCTCCAAATAACAATTCTACAACTATATCATATAGTAACTTATATTATTTTTATTTGAATTAGCTTTATGATGGGTGCGTGTGGGGTATTAACATTTAACACAGTATAGGCAATGCCACTAGCATCCGTAGTGCGTCTTCCATAACTAAGCTCTCTTAACATAGTCATAGTCCGCACAAGAAGAACCCTAATGAGTAGATATCATTTAGTTTTGTCTTCATGCTTTGTCTTAATTCCTAGCCAAGACCCAATTTACAAATATAAAAAAGTATCTAGCTAAGGTTTATTGATATTTTACTGATATCTATTCATTTGGGATCAATGGGTACATATTGTTTATATAATCATTCTACAAAGAATCATATTTTTGTTCTTAGAAATCTTTAGATATGATTAGCATTGGTTTAAGCCAGCTTTGAAATTGGATACGATCTAGAGATTGGTAAGTAGATTTTTGAAGCATTTATAATATTTGTTTAGTGATTAGCACTAAGGCATGCTTTGTATAAAATATTATCTAAAAGATCTAAACCTGTATTAACTAATGATTAGATTTTGACAGCTTCATTGATAGTCTTTTTTTTTTCCAAAAGGAAAAGTCAATTCCCAAACTAAAAAAGATGTTTGAGAAAGAGTCAAGAGGCACTTCGCATGATCACAAAGATATGATTTTCCGACAAAAATTATTAGAAAAATTTATGCTAACTTCTTTGTCTTTTTCTCTTCTCTTTTGCAAACAGTTAAGCAAAGTGATTAACGAGTCACTAAGACTTTATCCTCCAGCTACTCTTCTACCAAGGATGGCATTTGAAGATCTAAAACTAGGTGATCTAACCATTCCTAAAGGTTTATCTATATGGATACCGGTTCTCGCGATCCATCACAGTGAAGAGTTATGGGGTAAAGACGCAAACGAATTCAACCCCGAACGTTTTGGAGGTAGGCCATTCGCGTCCGGTCGCCATTTCATCCCATTTGCAGCCGGTCCAAGAAACTGTATAGGACAACAGTTTGCATTGATGGAAGCAAAGATAATATTAGCGACGCTAATTTCCAAGTTTAACTTCACGATATCGAATAATTATAGGCATGCCCCAATGGTTGTTCTTACTATAAAACCTAAGTATGGAGTTCAAGTGATATTGAAGCCATTGGATTCATAAAGGATTTAAAAAAGTGATTTGGAATGCCTTGGTAAAAAAAAACACTGAGAGAGAGGAAATATTTTGGGGTTTTGAAAGATACAAATCGGAAAAAATGTTGTACTAGTATGAACATCAAATTATGTTAATTCTTTTTTCTCAAAAATACATCTTCTTGTTTTTATCTTTGGTTACGACATACGAGGGATACTACTTAAAGTGTGACGAGAACAAACTCAAAACCCACATGATTGTTTCAACATGTTTGTAAATGATAAATTAATAATAAATAGCATGTTTGTATGCATTTGTTTAAACCTATAATATTTCAAACATAAATTTGATATGATCTATGGTAGACAAAAAATGTGTATCGATGACATATATTTTTGAGTTGATGTTCTTAGACTTCTTTGGATACATACTTTAAGACTTCAGAAAACTATTGATATGCCAAAAATATAGTAAATTTAATGTTGGGATTCGAAGTGAGAAGGCTGAAAAGAAGATTTCGAACTAATGTATTTTATCATTACCACATCTTCCAAATGATTATGTTTTTCTTTAGGCCAAAACATATGTTTTAATTTATTCAACAAAGACTAGTTGTAATAATATAAATAAATGTCCTTAGTTATAAATTAAACATAGAAAGATATGAAAGGTTATGAGTTATGACTGTTGTCTTTGTGTAAGGTCATATTTGTGTTCTTTGAGATTGCAAATGATATATAATCACTAACTCACTGGCATATGGCCAAAAGCATATGTCCATCGATCACCTTTATTGGCTTTAGAAAGTGAAATCGACATTCAATAATAATAAAAGTCATAATGTTATATTTAGATGGGTTCAATCTAGATAAGCCTTAAAATAATAAACAAACATAAACACAAGAAATATAATAATCAAAGAAACAAAAAGAATGATTAGTAATGGGGAAAAAAAAGAGTTGTTCATCTTTTATTTTTCTTGGTTAAGTTTGGTGGCAGCCTTTGCACTTATAATGACTAAGGTTGATTCTTGCTTCTTTATCTTGTTATTTTATTCTTATAAATATAATGGTAAATTATAGGTATTAATTATTTGTTAGGTCTTAATCGGAGTGCATGGAAGAAAAGAAAAATAAAATATTTGTGTTAACCACATTGCAGAAAGGTAAAACAAGTTTACAAAGAAACTCTATAATGATTATAAAATCATAGATATATAAACTTCTTTATATAATACCATATAAATTATGTGTATTCGTTCAAAATTTTTATATAATTAAATTTTTGTTCCAATCGCAAACGTGAATCTAAAACTAAGTTTGTTCCATTTGACATATCATATAAAACTTTTATTCATTCTGATCTATATTATACATTTTATTTACATTTGAAACTTAGTATTAATTTATTATTGATATAAGTAACAAAAAAATTGTTTCTGTAATTAATGTTTTCTATTTTTAATGCAAAATTATAATTTGTTCGATTAATAACCAAGTAAATTATATATTTTAATCTAAAACTGAACTTTTAAATACTACTTAGTTTGAAATAAAAGGTGTATATATACTTTTTGAATAGATGTTTATGCTCGAATGGGTCTTAGAAAAATTCAGTGGCACATTTTTCTGAACTGACAAGTCAAAAACATATCGTCATAATTTTAGATACACTCCAATATAGATATAATAATTTGATGATATTTTCCGTAACGCAATCAATCTTATATATACTATGCAAATCTGTTCTTCGTTGTCGTGAGATTCGTAAAGAATGATCCTATATATTTAGAATGCATATTTATTTATTTATATGAGAGTATATTTTCTCTTGTAGTATTTTGAAAAATATACACTACAATAGAAACTATTATATGGAAACATGCACACGCGTGTGTATCTAAATTAAATAGTGACACTATATCTTGTTTGACGATGATATAACAAAGATCCCTCCCACTATCAAAAGATTAAAAAAGAAAATCTTTGGGATCATAGAAGATTTGGTGGAAATGTGAAAATTAATACTATTGTTTTTTTTTCTTACACATATTGACTAATTTCTTTTGTGTTATTTTTATATGAAAATTATTTAACTGTGATGTTTTGATAGATTTTTGCTCACGTTGTAACTTTATACATAAAAATCATAGTATTAGTTGTTTTATTCTTAGACAATCGTGGTACAACTGTTTTAAATAAACTACATGATGCGTAAAATCAATTAGTTGATATTTTGTGTTACGTGCAAAACGATCAAATAATAGATAACTAGTTAATTAAGTGACTAAATTTAATATAATAAGTGACATATGCAAAACTAAACAAGATAGAATAACCATCACTACAATAGATTTGTCTAGTTTAAACTTAGCAAAAAATTGCAAAAATAAGTAATTGTGATTTCAAACGAATTTTGAATAATGGATTTAACGTTTTAAAATATGTGCATTTGCGAGATTTTTATGATTGGTTAACCATATATGTACTCAGTAGAGGACCTAGGATATAATTCCACCTACGTCAAGCATAAGTAATTTTTTTGTTGTTTGTTTATAGACTAAATGTCTTTTGGTTATAATAATGAGGAGATTTTTGAAATTTTGGCAGATCAGTTGATCCCCTTTCATGTATGTACTACAATGATTAAATAAAAAATGAACAAAATAAATATAAAATATAGTTATAAAAATGTATAAAAACACCAAAACTATATTATTACGATAAAATAATGAACATGATTACTAATTGAAAACCATACACAAATTATTTAATAATTATTCAGAAAAATATTAATAACGAAAAATATATTACTCTATGCATTTGAATATTTGATTCATCAGCAAAAATTGCATCTAGTAATATGACATATATACTACAAAATATTTGCTCAAACTCGCAAGTCTTCCTTTATGAAATGCTACAATTCTATGTAGCAATTTGGTTAGGGAACATTTTCATTGATGGGCTGCATATATATTCAAAAGAACTTGGATATCATTATGTGTTGGGCTTTGCCGATACCTTAATTAATTCCTCATGGTCATATATAAAGCAATGCCTTACATGCACAAATGCACATAATAATAATTTATCACATAAGTTGTTAACATTAAAACAAAGATGCTAAATTAATTTAGTGGTTTACATCCCACTTATACTCTAACTTAGGCATTTCTTTTCCATGTGTGAAATAGATTCCATCTTCTCTAGCATCCCAATAGTTTTTTTTACCATGATGAAATACCAAAGAACCACTTTCATATGCTACAAACGATGTATGAAACTTGAAATTAGGCCCTTGCCATAAGTCACAAGCAAATAACGTCCCCGCAATGCCATCATGAAAACTAAAATCGTAGGTTTCTCCGGTACGTAAGAAATGGAAACCTAGATCGTCGTCTTTTGATCTGCAATGAATCTTCAAAGCATTGTCTAGACCAAGAGAACTCTTAATGAATACAGTGTTTTTCTCAAATGAGTCACTCAATCCTACGCACAATCCAATAACGAGCAGAAAACACAAGAGACGATTCATTGTGTTAACTTTTTTGAACTGATCTTTGAGATTTAGAAGTAATATGTAGATAAGAAAGAGGGACAATGTTCTTTTTATATACAAGTGTGTTACATGGTTGTTCATTAAGTTTTGGTCTTTCATATTTTGAAACTTTTGATAATTAAGGTTGTTTTGACTGGTATGAATCTGTTGAGTACTTTTAATTTTGCAGTTTTTCTTTTGTTTTGACTAATAGCTTTATTTCCAAGTTCTGCTTTGGAAATAAATCCTATTGTTACATATCTTAATATATTAAGAATCTCTTTTTATGTAAAACATCCACAAATTCACATCAATCAAACTTTACAAATTTGTATTTTTTTTTTATTGACAGCCACCATATTTTCTTAATTATTACTTTTTAGCTGTACCTAACCAATTTTCCTAAAGCACATATAATTAAGCATTCCAAAAAATTAATTTTTACAGTCAAAATATTAGAGCAATAAAATTTATAACCACATGTTAAAATCTACAGACAAAAACTTAAAACTACAACCGAAACCAATCAGACCTATTAATATCCTATTGCGACTTTCACTCCCATGTCCCATCCACTCCAATACATATATTATGGTTAAGCAATTTAAGTAAACCTGGTTTTTATCAAGCAAGAATGTTACACGTCACCATTTATTGGTCTACAGCCACAAATCCACAACAATCAAACTTTACAAATTTTATATTCCCATTTTTTATTTATAGCCAACATATTTTCTTAATTATTATTTTTTCTGTACAAAGCCATTTTTCCTAAAACACTTTTTTTCAACCATTCTAAAAAATTAAGTTATACAGCCAAAATATTAAACCAATAAAATCTACAGTCACAGCTAAAAATTTCAACACAAAAATTACAGACGAAAACCTAAAATTACAACTGTAACCAATCAGACCTATTAATATCCTATTGCTACTTTCACTCCCATTTCACTCTATTTATTTATATTATGGTTAAGCAAATTTATTTGGTATGTGTATGCAACTTATTTGGTATCCAAATTCTAAACTCACTTGGACAAGACGAACCATGTAATGAAATGCTACATTAATTTTATGTAGCAATTTACTACGGGGACTTTTTTAATTGATGGGCTGCATATATTCTGCATGGTCATATTGTAAAGCAAATGCGTATGTTACTACGTTACATGCACATAATAATTTTATTACAAAAGTTGTAAACATTAAAACAAAGCTGCTACATTTGTTTGCACCGCCGAGTCAGGGGTGGTTAAGTTCCACTTATACTCTAACTTAGGGATTTCTTTGCCATGTGTGAAATAGATTCCATCTTCTCTAGCATCCCAATAGTTCTTTTTACCATAATGAACTATGAAACCACCACCTTCATATGCCTCAAACTCTGCCTGAAACTTGAAATTAGGCCCTTGCCATAAGAAACAACCAAAACTTGTTGTCAGAAAGCTATCATGGAAACTAAAATCGTAGGTTTCCCCGGGACGCAAAAAATGGACGCCTAGATCGTCTGTCGATAAACAATGAATCTTCAAGACGTTGTTTCTACTAAGGGAACTCTTAAAGAATACAGAGTTTTTCTCATTAAATTTAAATGAGTCACTCAATCCTACACACAATCCAATAATGAGCAGAAAACACAAGAGACGATTCATTTTGTAACTTTTTTTGAATTGACCTTTGCTTTTGTATACTTCTTTGAAATTTAGAAGTAATATGTAGATAAGAAAGAGGGTCAATGTTTTCTTTTTTATACAAGTGTGTTACATGGTTATTCATTCAGTTTTGGTCTTTCCTATTTTAAAATTTTGATAATTAAGGTTGTTTTGACTGGTATGAATCTGTTGAGCACTTTTAATTTTGCAGTTTTTCTTTTGTTTTGAATAATAGCTTTATTTCCAAGTTCTGCTTTGGAAATAAATCCTATTTTTACATATCTTAATATATTAAGAATCTCTGTTTATGTAAAAGAATATATATATATATATATATTTTGGTCTACAGCCACAAATTCACGTCAATCAAACTTTACAAATTTTGTATTTCTTTCTTTTATTCACAGCCACCATATTTCCTTAATTATTATTTTTTAGCTGTACCAAACCAATTTTCCTAAAGTACATATTTTTAAGCATTCCAAAAAATTAATTTCTACAATCAAAATATTGAAGCAATAAAATTTACAGCCATATGTTAAAATCTACAGACAAAAACTTAAAATTACAACCGAAACCAATCAGGCCCATTAATATCCTATTGCGACTTTCACTCCCATTCACTCCAATACATATACACTATTATGGTTAAGCAATTTGAGTGAACCTGGTTTTTATCAAGCAAGTATGTAACGCGAAGATTTTACCTCACCATTTATTTTGTGAATGTAATGTTAAATTATCTATACTATTAATTGGGAAGGACAACTTGAAGCCAAACACCCCCAATTTTAAAAAAATATTTCATGAAAATAAAACCAGTTGCCAAACAGAATTAATGACAGCAAAAAAAAACAAAAACAAAAACAAAAACAATCTATATTTATGGAAATCATAATAATCTTTTACCATAAAAAGTGGACAATTAAATTCAAAATTAAATATATGTAAACAAATATATTTTGAATATACATAAACATATTTATTATTAATTTAATATTTTAATATAATTTCGAAATTAATAATGTATATAGAATGAAATCTAATAAAACAAAATCATCATATATCTAAAATAACAAAGATAACATTTTTGTAGAAAAATAAAAAAGATTAAAAAATATGTTAGCATATGAAATAATCAACTAATCAAATTCTACATAGTATATATACATAACTGATCATATTATAAAATTTTAAAAAATTATATAATTTTAAAATTTAAATAAAATTTAAATAAATCAATAATTAAATATTTGTTTGCTAAAATCATGCGAATAAACATTCTAGATCACATAAATTTCTTATTTTCACATAAAAACATTCATATTCAAAAAAATCAATCTAGCAATTATAGCACAAATGATATCTACAAAATTTATCATTAATTCAGTTAGTTAATGATTTTTATTTGGTCAAACCGTTAGTCAAACCGTTAGTTAATGATTATTCAATTAGTTTATGATTTTTATTTTGTCAAACCGTTAGTTAATGATTAATTTCACACAATCTTAACAAAAAAAAATCTTCATCCATTGGCAATTTGCATATCATTACTATTATCAAATATTAAATAATTGTTTTATCAAATCATAAACTACATTTTGAGATTATAAACATATAGAATTTCTATTAAGATTAAAACTAAATAACAAGTGGATATATCACATTTAAATGATTTTAACGACTTATTACTATTTATGAGAATCTCCCATTTTTAAATAATAAATGGATTATATTTTTAATGATTTAATCTAATTGAAAACAAATAAAATGTCAAATTGGTATGATATAAATGATATAATAAATAAATATCTACAAACATTATCTCACATATACGTACAATTTTAAACTATCCTTGACAAATATGATATATAAGTTTTGGATAACCGGTTGAAAAAAAAAATTGGTAGTTATATTTAATTCTTAAAATCTCAAAATATTGAACAAAATTGCGAATAAACATTCTAGATCACATAAATTTCTTATTTTCACATAAAAAACATTCATATTCAAAAAAATCAATCTAGCAATTATAGCACAAATGATATCTACAAAATTTATCATTAATTCAATTAGTTAATGATTTTTATTTGGTCAAACCGTTAGTCAAACCGTTAGTTAATGATTATTCAATTAGTTTATGATTTTTATTTTGTCAAACCGTTAGTTAATGATTAATTTCACACA